CCCCCCCCCCCCCCCATCACACTGATGACATCAGCTGGCACAGATAACACCGCGATGCCCTGGCAACGGGGGGCTGCATGGGGGATGCTCAGCACCTTCCCTCCCTGGCTCTGCACGGGGCCACCCACCTGCCGTGGGACCCAGACCCTGCCCTGGACGCCCCCCAGGGCCACAACAGCCCCAGTGCACCAGTGTGCACCAGTACACACCAGTGCTCCCAGCCAAAAGGCTGTGACACCCCCAAAGCAGCACATCCCACGGGGACACCCCCCCCCATTTAATTTCTTTGCAAAAAGCAAGCGGGCCCAGCCGCTGGCACTGTCCCCGTGGGCACCCAGTGCCATGAGGTGCCACAGGATTCGCGCCCAGGTCCCTGCGGGTACGAAGCCCACCCTGCTGCCAGCAGAGAGGTGACACCAGGCGGTGTCCCCAGGGGGGTCCTCACCCAGGAAGGTGCTGGAGATGTACTCAGAGACCTGGTTCCCCGAGCGGCTGGTCTCCGAGAGGTGCGTCAGCTCCCGGCTCAGCATCCTTTTGAACTGCAGGCAGCAGGCAGGGCTCAGTGGTGCGGGGGGCAGGCAGGACCCTGGGCTGCCCATCCCGGGGGGCTCTGTGGTGCAGGGGTCTCTGTGCCCCCCCAGGGTGATGGGGGGGCTCCGTGCCAGGGACCCTTACCTTGTTGGAGGCCATCTCGCTGACCGAGTGCCTGGTCTGCAGCGTCTCCAGTTGGTCCAGGCACCAGTCCAGCTCCTCCAGGGTCTCCCGCGAGAGCTTCTGGTGGGCATCCTCTGCTGGGGGCACCCGCGGGCTTGGCAAGGGACCTGCCGACGGCACGGCGACCCAGCACGGCGGCACATGCAGGATCCCGGCCGTGGCACCCCAAGCCCTGGCAGGTGGCTGTGCCGCACTGAGCTCGGGGGCTCACCGGCTCGGCTGCTCACATCCCCCCCTGAGTGAGGTGCCCGGGGGCACAGGGGGATGCAGGGGACCGGCCAGGGCCAGCATCTGGGGTCAAGCATGCCTAGGCAGCAGGGCTCAGCCCCATCACACCATCCCCGTCGCATGGCAGCCCCGGCACACCGGCATGCCACGCCGTCCCCGCAGGGTGACAGCCAGCCCTGGGGCAGCCAGGCTCCCGCGGGGCCCCGCTCGCCGCCGGGGTTTTATTAATGGAAGGTTTGACGTCAATGGGAGCCTTTCCACCGCCGCCGCGGCGCGAAGGGCAGCCAGGCGGGAGGAGCTGCTGAAAACCAGACATGGATCCCAAAGGGCAAAGCCGCAGCTCTGCCCCAGCCGGGGGGGCCTTGCTGCACCCCCCAGGGCCCAGCAGGACCCATCCCCAGGGATACAGCGACAGCCAGCTCGTCCCAAAAGCATCCCCCCCATCTTCCCCCCCGGCACTCACCGGCGAGGCTGGCCTTGCTCCCGGAGGGCAGGCTGCTGCTCGATGCTCGCCTGCGAAATATGGGGGGCTGAGCGGCCAGGACCCCCAGGGCGGTGCCCCCCCTTGCCATGGGTTGGAGTCTCCCACCCAGGCGAGACCCTCACCATCCCACGGTCGACTCACTTGATGCCGGCACGGTCCTGGAGGTGGGTCAGGTTGCTCCGGACGGTGCGGAGGCTGGCCAGGACCTGGGGGGTGAGAGGGGGCTGGGGCCGGGTGGACCCCCCCGGGACACCCACCCCGGTGCTGGGTGCAGGGCTGTGTCCCCTCCTTGCCGGGGCGCGGGGACAGCACCTACCTGGGCGAACGGCGTGACGATCATGTCTTCTCCGTGCCTGTGGGAGCAAAGGGAGCGTGAGCCTCAGGGAGGGGAGCGGGGGTCCCAGGGCACTCGGGGCGGGGGACACTCACAGGTCACTGGCGATGGAGGAGTTGCGGGACATGGCCTTCGGGGACAGGTCGTAGTCGCTGTCGGAGCGGTAGAGGAAGGACTCGCGGCGCTGGCCATGGGGGAAGGTGCCTTGCAGGACCAGCCCCGCTCCCGGGCTGGCCTGGGGGTCCAGCGCGCCACGGCCCGGGGGGCCATTCTCCAGGTCGAAGCTGCGAGGGGAGAGGGGACAAGGCTGTCATGGGGTGGGTGGCCTGGGGACCTCAGCCCACAGGAGCAGGGGCACAGCCCAGGGGACACTGCCAGGTTTGCCAGGTTCTCCATGCCACCGTCCTGCTCAGCCCAGCACACCCTGGCTCGGTGGCACCAGCCACCGCCCAGCCTGGCCCCGCCAGCTCCTTCACCCCAGTGCTGAGAACGGGCACAACTCAGTGCACGTGGACCCCCTCAGCACCCTGCCAGCACAGTGGGGTCCGGGACTGGGGACACTGGCTAGCGAAGGCAGGTTGTCCCATGTCACCCAGGTGGGACAGGACCTCCTGCCCTGAAGCTCCCGGCTCCAGAGACCCCAGGCACGGCTCCTGCCCGTCCTGTCCCCGTCCCCAGTGCCGCGGTCTCCGATTGCCCCAAGTCCTCGAAAGCCCCAAAGCATCCACAGGGCTCAGGGCTCTGTGTCCCATGGGGGGGACAATGTCCTGGACACGCCACGGAGCCAGGGGACACCAAAGGACAGAAACTGCTGGGGAAGCCAAGCCCTGGCCCTCAGGGACACGCTGGTGGTGGCCCCAGGGACACCCCAACCAGAGCCACCTAGCAGCCGTGCGGGTCCATGGGCGGACAGGGGACACAGGGACAGTGACCCTGCAGTGTCCCTATGGTGGCCACGGCCACCTCACCCCCCTCCTGCTCCGCTGGCCCCGGGGTCATGGGAAAGGCTGCGCACAGGGACACGGCGAGGGCCACCCGGCGCCTGTCCCCTCCCGCAGCCGCCACCACTGCAGGGACGGGGATGAGCCACCCTACAGCACCGGGTGAACTGGGAAAGCACGGGTGCCACCGGGGCCACCCCAGTCCCCGTCGCACCGCTGGGAGCTCGGCACCTACCCGATGCAGGAGTGCCTCCGGGACGGGCACCGGCTGCCCGGCAGCATCTCCCTGCTCCGGCAGCACCGCCAGCAGCCCCGGTCCCTGCGGCGTGGCCGTCCCCAGCAGCGGCAGTGCTGGCCAGGCACCGCGTCATGCCGTCCCGCAGCCCCTTGTTTTCCTGCCTCTGCTTCGCGTCCCCAATGGTACCAGGGACACAAAGCCGCATTGTGGCTCCGCCGGCCTCGCGGGTGATACCCGCGTCTGTTCCTGGCCCCGTGCCACCACCTCTGACCCCGCTGCCACCCCAGGGGACAGCCCCGAGTCCCCAGGCTGGGCAGGGGGGACACAAGCTCCCGCCGTGGGGCTGGTGCCGAATTCAACCCCCTCGTTTCGGTGACGGGCTGTCGGCATTAATAACCACCGAGCGGTGCCGGGTGGCAGGGGGAGCCAGGGGCTGCTATAAATAGATGCTGTTGCTGCTGAGGAGGGATCTGCTGATCCCCATGGCGCCCGCGCAGGTGGGGCAGGCACCCACCAGCACCCCGGGGCGCGGGCAGGGCGGCACCCCAAAACAAACCCTACATAGCCCCAATGCCGGGGGGGGCACAGCGAGGTGCCACAGTGGGTGCTTTGGTGCCTTGCTGTGCTGGGAAAAGCCCCTCTCCCCTCCCTGCCTCGCTCCCCGCCGTGGGGCTGACACCCTTTGCACCTGGAGGGTCCCTGCCTGGCCATCGCTGCAATGAGTGCGTCCGTGCTCAGCCATGCTCGGCCAGCGGCTCCCCCCGCCCGGCTCAGCCCCCCCGGCTGTGCGGTGACCCCCGCTGTCCCCTGCTTATCCCCTACGTCCTCATGGGCCCACAGCCCTGGGGACGTGCCACAGCACTGGGGGGGGTCCACAGTGACCCCGTCCCGGCAGCACAGCCCAGTGCCTCCTCCCGCCCTCCCAGGGCCGAGCGCGGCCCCTCGCCGGGGACCTGCCAGCGTCCCCCCCTTACCAGAGGGGATGCGCCACGGTGAAGCGCCGCTGCAGGCGAATGCTCTGGTTCATCAGGAGCTTCCTGAAGAGGACGGGGGAATTGCAGGGGGAATTGCGGGGGGAATTGCGGGGGGATGCTGCCGGCGAAGTCCCCGGCGAGCGGTGGGTGGTGGGCAGCATGGCACGGCTCAGGGACCCCCGGCACGGCGGCGGCGGTGACGGCGAGGCCACGCTGCCCGCCGGTGCGGAGCAGGAAGCGTGCGGCTGTCCCAGCCCCCGCCCCGGCAGCCCCCGGCAACTTTCCATCCC